TTTAATATACGGAAGTGTATTACCAAATATATGAAATAAAATTGATCTAATCATATTCTATATAGCTGATAATTGTAATCAGCAAATAACGAAAAGCATAGCATTACCCTATATACAACAATATTATTAAATAAATAAAAGAGTATGTCAGCAGAAAGTGACATTTGCTAAAAGACAGATGATGAAAAGGTACATCATGTGCAAATTTATTACTATATGCACATCGTGCTCTTGTGATTGGCAAAAATATGAGAAAAAAAGAAAAAAATAATTGACACAAAAACTCGTGCGGTAAAAGCTCGTTATTTGCACGCGGTCCCGGTCCGGCGACACGCAACTAACGAATACGTAGCGAGTTTCTCTCCTAGGAATTGTTCGAATTTAGCTCGCGCTACAACAAACACCAGCCAACGTTAACGGGCAAGAATTGACAGAGAATAAGACACTAAAAAAGTAAAGTTTTTAGAGGACGATGAGTCGTCGCTTGGATTACTTCTGTAAGGACTCAATTTTACCAGAAAAATCTTGCCAGTTTATTAAAACCCTTCCTATCAAAATAAAACTTATAAAGTGATCCGTGTAAATCGTTGTTTATTTAAAATAATTATTAGGGGATATCGTAGCCGGAGTAAACAGGGATGAGCAACTAAAATACTGAACATACATATTTAAATACTTAGAACAAATGACGAACAAAATGAAATATTGTACTCAGTGATGATCAAGTATCAACATTCACTTGTATTTTATATTTATATTTATGAATACTAAATATGAATAACGTATTTTGCACTTACTCAGCTACTGAGTATAAAATTCTAATAAATCTGACATTCACTGACCAGGTAATCACAATATACCTGTATATTCTGTACTCAATAATGGAACAAAATAAGAGTATTCTGTAGTTACACAGCTACCGAATACAACATGCGAATACTTTTAAGTATTTGATTACAACCAGAATATAAATCGTTGATCAAATACATTTTGCCCATCCCTAAATATAAGTATGTCTCTATTTTTACTTCCAAAGCTTTGGACTTTACAATTTAGGTCTGCCTCAATGAGAATCGATAATATCTATCAAATAACAATACAGAATTCTTACTACTATTGTGTTTTTAATTTAAAATAAAATTTCTAATTTTTCTTTTATGCCCAGAATAGACTATTGTTCGTGAACAGCTCGCGGCTGTGCTTGCTAACAGTGTGGAGACTCTCGCGAACAGCGAACACTGTTCGCTCGGGAAGCGATACAACAAAGAGATTATGCGCGAACTCAAAGTTTCAGTAGGCTATAACTGTTCGCAAGCTGTTCATGAACTGTTGGCGTGTTGTTCGCAAACTGTTCTCTCCAGCGTATTCTTGGTATAATACAACTCCCTTTTTATATGCATTCCTATCATCTCTAAGAATCTTGTATTTTTATTTGATAGCCATTATCGATTCTCACTGAGAAGGTTTTAAACTGTAAGATCAGCGCTTAGAAAATAATAATAAATACACGCTTGTATTGACTATGATGTCTCATAATAAAGAATTATACAAATTTAATTTTTCATGCAACCGAATGATGGTGACTCTATCATTCGTCAATTCCAAGTATCGAGTACTGGCAGCCTGGAGAGTGGCTTGTTCGAGTCAATTCCAAGAAGTGTTGGGGATAACTCGCGTGCAACTAGCGGGTCCGTTCGGCACGCAACTAACGAGTTCTTACTGCATTATGGATTTTGAAAATATATTATGTTAAATGTATGAAATATTTTATATACAATCACAAATGTAACATGTGGAAACGAAAACGATATGTATAATAAACGTTTGTAGTGTGACTACATAATGACATTCATGAAAATTATATGATGTTCAGAAGCAAACATATAAATTAATGATTGGAAATATTGTGAATTTTTCTGCCAGTAAATGCAAACCACAGACAGGATGGTAACCAGGACAATGTATGGATAGAGGCAGGTATTAAATGTCACAAGATTTTTTGTTAATTGCAACACCAACAATAATATTTTTACTTACCCCCCGATCGTTTGAAGTTTAGTCGACTCAAGTTGACGTGCCGCTTCTTCGGTTCTTTTCAAAAGTAATACCTGTAACATAGATAGAAACTATTACAGGAAATATAGAAACAACAGATATAAGAATATTATATCCGTATACAGTTTATTTGTATCTTCATACTGAAAGTATTTTGAATAAATTGTAAAGTGCTATTATTTATGTCACAGTGAATTGTATCAACTCGAATTAATTTCATTACCCACCTTTTGTGATAAGTTTCTAAAATGCATTTCTTGGATCATGTTAATGTTACGATGTAAACTTTCATGACGGGAGATGGCCAGCAATACTCCTCGTTCAGGCACATATCGGCACACTGCCGCCCGTATCGCTCTTTGAAATTCCTTATGTACATTATCCATTTTGGCACTATAAACAAAAAAATATATTTTCATAAAATAATATACATTTGCCGAATTGTTTTTTAATTATAAACACAATAGAATTAGAATCTAATACATACAATTCCCTTAGTTCTTCAGGTACATCAATTTCGATCTTGTGAAATGTATTTTTATCGATGGGGGGATTAGGATTTTTTACCCTCAATCGCTCGCCTTCTACAATTTCGGTATACGCACATTCCCACCCTGTATATTCAACTACTAGAAAACCACCTTTGCTCATCTGAAACATTTTAATCTATAAATAGTTTTTGTAACTGAAACTGGAAAAAAATTTGTCAATAAATATATTAAAATACAATTTTAACATATTGAGTGCAGCATGGCTATGGGGGGTAATTTGATATTTCTACTATGCAACAAAACATTATTATCAAACATATCATAATATTTAAATATTAACATAGCTTAGAATTTTTATGATATTTAAGTGCTACAATCGTTGAGTCTCAACTGACGTCTGAGACATTGTCAGAGGCACAGTCTTAGAAGAAAATCGCCCGTGACTGGAGGATTAATTATTTAATAATATTTAATTTTATATTTAATATTGAACATATATTATCATGTAATTTTATAAGCATTACAAAACATATCTTACAAATATATAAAATAGAAATGGCAATATGAACCATCAGTGCCCCCGCGACACAAATGAAAAATCAGTAGGTATGTACTAGCATAATACTCAATGTGTTAATAAATATTAAATAAAAAAATATAGTATTTTAATCTAACTTGATAATTACTATGTATAAATTCAGAATATATTTGTATAACAATAAATACAAGTATGGAAATTATATATATCTATATTACATTTTTGTATAAGAAATACATAGGAAGAATAAAAAAAGTTTATTATTACTAACCTTTATTATGGCTTTCCACCAACCACATGCTTCATGCGCACTGGACCTAGAAAATACCTCAACCTCCTGCTTCTCTTGAAATTCAGATGTGGGACCATCCTCTGGGGGTAGCCGTACTTGTGCAAATGGAAACTTTGATTCCGGTTGCCAACTATAACATAATATATAATTTTTTATTGTATTATGCAAACGAAATACATACAAATGGTTTGCATAATATTACACTACTTTTGTTGTTAATTATCTAGTCCATGAATTATAATAAATTTTAACAAAACCCATAGACATATATGACTGATTGAAATATATGTATTTATGCAAAATATATCATGCAATTGAAAAAAATAATTTTATTTAATAATAGTATTATTATCGTGTAATTACTTTTTAATAAACTTGACAAATATTATTCATTATTCATGTATATGTATATTATATTTTGTATTAATTTTATGCTATCAAATGTATTATTATAAAAACATGATTATTTAATATTGCATTTGAATGCTAAATTTCTTATTCAATGTCTTTGATAGACACAATAAAAGCATTTGTTTGTATGCAAAAAATAAATAATGAAATTAAAAATCCCCCAGAGCATTTATATTATAATTTAAAAGTTTTTATCATTAGTATATAAAAATAAAGAATACATTATGAAAAATCTATGAAAATTTTAGCTATCCAAATATTGATAACAAATAATATCCATAAAAGCAGATCTTTTGATATCATTAGATCAAGTAATGAAAGCATTATACCCAATAGAGTGAATAAAGGTAATATAATTTCTTTGCCCAGGAGACTGCACTGTTTGTGTTAGCACAGATTATCATAGTGAACCCTTAGAGTTTCTAATATTTCATTGCTAATGAAAAGTAGACATACAACTTACTCATTTTCGAAAGTTACCAGAACCTCGTCCTCAAAAACATCGGTGACAAAGGCCTGAAAAAAATGAAACGTGAAGCATGTAAAGTCATTCGTTTAGGTATCAGGGAATGAAGCGAGTGGCGTAAGAAGTTCGGGCATAATATCGCGATGCATTCGGGCTATCAGCAAGATCGCTGTTTATATAATTCCGACATAATGGAAATGCGTTTTCACGAATCGTGAGAACATTGAAATGAAACGCAACATCAAAAGCTGACGAAAATCACGCCCTGTCAAACGAGACATGGCGTCGGAGGAAGCCGCGTTACCTCGCGAACATTTGAGGGCCGCGCTTTCGCGAAGTACGGGCGTCTCTTTCGTGAGATTAGAACCGCGCCATGGGCCGTGAGTTGGTCTATCCACGGCCTCAATCTTCCGCCCTGTTTTTTGTATACTTTTCACAGAACGAACCTTATAATATGCTCCGTTTTCGCCGCATACTTCGACTGTGAGATCCTCCATCTTGCTTTTGTGTGACGGCTCGCCTCCTTTGCAGCAGGCATGCTGGCGAGCGGGCAGCTGCACGAGTTCGAGACTCCAAATTCGTTGTTCACCAATCACACAACTCTTTTCCATGACGCGGTCTCTTTATTGGATGGCTTCGTGCAGTGTTACCACTTTCACCGTCGTTAACTTACGTTTGAAAGAACTAGGATAATTGAAACACGCACGAGCACATTCAGCACGGAGCTGTGCACTTGTGTAACCGCTATTAAAAATCAAATCATGACTTCGTGCCGCTCGCGATCCTGTAGCCGTTTCTGTTCGATCCTAGTGTTCGCGATTTTGCGAAACGCGTGACGTGCCTTGACAGTACCGATGCGGATAATAGTATTATTACTGATCATTCAGTGCAGACGACAATGTCTGGAAGTAGCGATTCTGAAGAATTTTTTGATGCGGAGGATGATACTTTCCACCGCAATTCACGGTAATTTTACTAGTCCTTGATTGTCGTGTGATTCTATTCGAAATCTTAAATAATATTTTATTTACTTTGTATAGGTATTATAAATCACTTCTCTGTAGCTTCTATAACTATTTGAACACGGACACTTATTGAATAATAGCTATTATAAAAATTTGATTCACGATTTTCATTTTGTTCCACTCGTAGTTCGCTTGAATTTCTTCTACACTCGGAAGTTTGTTTCAGATCACTTCTTTGTGTCTATCTTTTTTTACGCACTTTTATTTTTGTGTATTATGTTCCTGACTAATTATTTTTGGTTAGGTTCGGAATTGAGCACTTACGTGCAATCGTTTATATGATTATATGCAGTTATTTCAGGGCCGGCATTTGCAAATTTTCTAAGATTGTAATTGTTGGCACTGTAATTTCAGAATATTGAGAAAAAGATTTTTAGTCTTGTTATTACATATTTAAAAATTTACTGAATCGTATAACGAATTATTTTTTAAATATGATTATATTTTATTTTATTTTATTTTTTATGAGTTTATACTTCTACTCTTTAATCTTTTTTATATCAAATTTTGTTTGTTAGTACAAAATTCAATTTTGAGAGTTTGATCATTTGTTAAAGTACTACAAAAATTATTTTATATTTTGGTTTAAAAACATTATGCTTTTTTTTATGAAATGAGTATTTGATTTTTATAGGAAAAATAAACAGCATGATTCTACCAGCAATGAGATACAAATTAAGGACACATCAGACACTTCCAAAAAAGCAGATGATGATGTTTTTGTGAAACCTGCTGAACCTAAACCAATTGCAGAACCAAAGGAACATGTAACCATAGAATGTATACCTAGTAAAGATAAACTTGTAAGTATTTATTGATATTGGCATATTGTACTTTTAATGTTATTTTATATTTTTAATAAAAAATACACATTTATTTAGGAGGAAGATGGAAAAGAATCAAGCAGTGATAAGATCGTGGGTAGGAGGAGATTTCGTGAACTTCGACAGCGTATGCAAACAGAGGATGATGATATCCCAATTAACAGTTCCCCTCCAGATAGCCAAACATCATCTATCGAGGGTGTTTATCCTACTCCATCAAAAACAACTCATCCATTTAGGATCATAGAACATGATACTCTTAGTCTACAAAGTATGACATCTTTAGGACGAGTGGGTCGAATTTTAGCTGGAACTGGAGACAATGCTTCTGTTGTACTTGTAACAAATGTAACTCAATGTCCCCCTTCTGCCATCCTTACCCGCGACAGTCAAATGTCCTCGATTGCTAGTATACCAAGCAAAGATGAGGACACGATATCTGGTAAGGTGTCCCAGTCCTCCAGCATCCTTACGTTATCAGAGGATATCCTACAGGAATCCTCTGTTAACAGTAGGTCCAGCTATACTTCTCATTCACAAAATGATAAGACTGTTATACTTCAAGAGCCTGATGTCATTGCTAGTACAAAGAACAATGGAAAATCAAGCGAAGACATTACTATGGTTGGAATACCTGTTGCACCACCAAGACGTAAAAAAAAGACAAAAGCTCAGACACCTACTGACCTTGCTGTATGATATATTTTAATATAATTAATTTACATCATAAAAGAAATTCTAAGATCGCCAGAAATTGATAACGCAAAATAAAAATGGTTCTGTAATTTTAGCCGTCTACAACGGAGTCGGCGTTACCTGCTTCGCCGTTACCGAGTCCTGCAAGCACTATTGAATCGATTACTAGAGAATTTGAGCATTCTCTTGATATTCGATCTGCTACAAAAGGACAATATGTTGTTAAACCACAAGTCCGTATCATAATATATTTATATATATGTAGCTTAATTTTTAATATCACTACAATTCCTATTATTTATTTTTAGGATGAAGATAAATCGAAAGCGGAAGGACCATCAGTTGAAGAATTGGAAAGAATAGAAAGAGCAAAAACTGAATTAATGAGTTTGAAATCAAGCAATAAATCAAGTAGTCCAGTGGGATCCATGTCTAGTAATAGCATTGGCCGTTATTCTTTAGGCCCTCATAAATTTTCGGGTTTAAGTCCTTCAGGTTCAAAAGAAAGACGAAAATCTGCTGGTGATCAAGATATGATCAAACAGTTAAACATGTTTGTCAGAACGAGAACAGACTCTGGAAAACGTTTAACAGATATGGTATAACATTGATTTAAAAAGTTAGATACAGTAATGCCTTGGATATTGGCCGACGTTCGAGACTGGCCAAAGTTGAAGGAAGGTAGATCTTCCAGGAAATTCCGTGTATCTTTTTTTTCAGAAACACGGAACATCGATATCTCGCAGATTTAAAAACATAAACATGCTTGGCCGTCGAGGATGCGGCCATGCGAGGATGTGGCCACCAGCCTTCTCAGGCTGATGACCCCATCCCCGCATCCCATCCCAGCGGCTGCCCCTATCCGCCACCTGGGGACGCGCCACGTAGGGGTTCACCTCCCCTGCCACCTGGACAACCAAACGGGTGCGTGGAAGAATTGATGGGGCTAACACAACCGGCCAAGATCCAAGGCATCACTGTATAGTGCATTTCAGTGTTTATAGGTTATTAATGGCGATATTGTCCATCTTGTTTTAGGAGATTTTAGAGCAAGTAACTGTATTAAATTTAGATACTGGAGAAAGAGTGCCATTAAGTATAGCGGAAGATAAATTACCACAGTGTATTAATCCTTTGTCGCTTCACATAATGAGACTCACGTCAGAATATATAAGTAATTCTAGTCTGGAGAAAGAAAAAGAAAGTGACGAGGAAAGCGTGGACAGTAAAATGTCCAATATACCACCAGACGAAGATGTAACTGTTGGTAGAGTTCGAAAGAAAACTCAAAAGTTAAAACGATTCTTAGGATCTACCGTAAAAAAGACAATGGACAAAGCAAAATCTATCGCGCAAGAAGTGTCTCATGCAGGGCATAAAGAAGATGTTATGGAAATACCAGATGAAGTTTATCCTGGCGAACAGAAATGCATTAAATTAAAAGCGTCCAATAGTCATAAAGGACCATACGAGTTTAGTTGGTTACAACATGTTCAAGACTTACGCGGCGAACATGTGGGTCCTGTTTGGTGTATGAAATTTTCTGCTTGTGGACGGTTACTTGCTACAGCAGGGCAAGATCGAGTTTTGAGAATTTGGGTTCTACGCGATGCTTTTTCTTACTTTCAAGATATGCGAACGAAATACAATGCCGAGAAAGTTAGTCCAACCCCTTCGCAAGAATCTCTGGTCTTGCAACAACCCATGGAAGATCCTGATGTTGTGGCTAGTGCCTTCAGTGAAATAGAAGGGACGAAATGCCCTTTCATGCCAAAGCCATTTTGCATTTACGCAGGCCATACCTCGGACTTACTTGATGTTTCATGGTCTAAAAATTATTTTGTTTTATCATCGTCAATGGATAAAACCGTGCGACTTTGGCATATATCACGAAAGGAGTGCTTGTGTTGTTTCCAGCACATTGATTTTGTTACAGCAATAGTATTTCATCCCCGCGATGATCGATACTTTCTCTCAGGGTCTTTAGACGGTAAACTCCGTCTCTGGAATATTCCAGACAAGAAAGTAGCCGTGTGGAACGAAGTCGATGGACAAACTAAATTAATTACCGCCGCAAACTTCTGTCAGAATGGAAAATTCGCGGTTGTGGGCTCGTATGATGGTCGATGTATATTTTACAATACGGATCAGTTGAAGTATCATACACAAATACACGTTCGATCTACAAGAGGGAAAAATTCAACAGGAAGAAAAATAAGTGGTATCGAACCTATGCCAGGCGAAGATAAAATCTTGGTTACGTCGAACGATAGTCGTATTCGCTTGTATGATTTGCGAGATTTAAATTTATCGTGCAAATACAAAGGTTACGTTAATGTTAGTAGCCAAATTAAAGCGAGTTTTAGCCCTGACGGACAGTATATAGTTAGTGGTTCGGAAAATCAGTGCATTTATATTTGGAAAACTCATCACGATTACTCGAAATTCTCGAGTGTACGTAGAGATCGAAATGACTTTTGGGAAGGTATAAAAGCTCATAACGCTGTAGTAACATGCGCAGTATTTGCACCAAATCCAGATAGTATTATTAAACAGATCGAAGAAAGAGAGCAGTGGCGGGAAAATAAGGAAGATGTAAAAAATCTAGGTAGTTCAACCGTAGATGTTCCTCCAGTTGATCCAGTGGTTGAACAGCGCACTAAAGGCTGCGGCGGACACGTTCTTGTAAGCGCTGATTTCAATGGGTGCATAAAGGTTTTTCTAAATAAAACAAGACCTAAGCATAGTTCCCTACCAGCATCTGCTCTCGCATAACACAATACTGCATTCATTTGTGCACTATTGCTAATAATTAGAAAAGAATAAGAACACCAATATATTATATGCATATATTTGTTTTACCTCAGTGAACGATGTAGGGACTCACTGTAAGCTGTTTTTCATGGTAAACGTGATTGTACTAAAAATTTTCGATGACAAAATATTTTGAGATGCATGCTAAAAGGATTATTTCACAATAAGAAAGCTTCTAACATATAGTTAGTAATACCAAAACACTCATAAGTTTGATGTTCGGATAATGTTTCGGTTTTCTTATCATAACGAGTAGCAAATTGTTTTTTATTTTTTCTAAATTAAATAGTTTTTGCATATTACTCTAATTATAATTTTTACTAAAGCTTTAAGTAAGCTATACGAAACACATAGATTTATAACATATTGTATTTTTAACATTTCTTTTTTAATTCGACATTATATTTTTATTGATCTTGTATTATATGTTTTTTTCGGTGCTGGTCCACTGCGATCATATACATTTATAGAAACTTTGCCAAAATTATGTTGCTAAATATATATATTATATACACACATATATGTATATATATATATACATCTCTATGTATATATATATATCTACAGTTAACGTGGTATTGTTCATTTCAATTAATTTATAGAAGGAAAGAGCACCTTGATGAAAAACAAAGTATAAACAAGCAAGCAAGCGTTGGTAAAATATAACAACAATTGAATGAATCGTATGGATAAACCGAAAAACTTATAAATATATCTTGGTGATCCATCGTTAGACAAATGTTGAATAGTATCTACAAAGTTTAATGAAAATCAAACTGGATTTTCGAATCCTAATGGTTTCTAAAAATATGCTCTAGAACTTTACCGTGATAAGATAGCGTAATACATCGAAGACAATATGAAAAACAAAGAGGTGGTTCGAAGTTAAAATGCATCATCGTTAAGTTTTTCTACGGACGCAGTTTATATTTTAGAGACTACTTCATGTTCAATATGAAAGTTATAGTTCGACATACCATATGGATCAATGATTTGACGTTACGCTATATATAAACCAGATATAAATTTAACCAATTAATGTAAGTGCAAGGTTTGTCTTGCATTGACACATTACGTATCGTAGAAGTTATATGCTCACAACACTCGCTATGTTCAGTGTTCGGCACGATGTTCTAACCGCGTGTCGTTTAGATCTGATTTAAAAGGTGTTGCGCGGAATACCGATTTCGCAACGTGTCAATTATAGCGGCAAAGAGTACCGTGTAATACAACAAACGACGGCTTAACGCTGCTCGAAACTCTGCATTTCGCGATTCTCGATCTATTTAATAAGTCATGTTGTAAAAGATGATGCGCTATTCAGTCGCGGTTTGAAGTGCGATTGCCGTAGATGCAAGGCCTCTGCGTCGTTCAATCGTAGCGTCGCAGAGTTGAAGGAATAATTGAATGATCAAATTACAATGTACGGTGTATTTTATTTGTATCGTAAACTTAATGTAAATACGCAGGAAAGAAATGTAGGTATTTTGTGTAAATGCAAATTGTAAATATATTATTCGAGCGATAGCATTAATCGCTTATTAACGGCAGTCATTTCGACAGCGGCGTGCACAAAATTATCGTTTGTGATCTCGTAGTAATCAGTAATCATGTAATATATTAATGTATCAATAGTGTATTCATGTATGGAAATGTGTCTGTTTTTTAAGTTGCCGTCACACAGCAATATACATCAAGTTTACATTAACCAGCAGGAAACTTTCTTTATGTATTGAATTCTCACGGTACAGTAATGAACACGAGTAATTAGAACAGGACGATTCTCGAAATAAAGTTAGTTGTAGACGTGGAAAAAATCATTATGAACTTTCAATAATTTCACTATATGATTTTATTATCTCGAATTAAACTATAGGAGAAAAATAAATTTTTACGTATTCGGTAATAAAACAATCTACCTACGTTTTATGGCAAGTTTAAAACTGAAATAGAGTAACAGAGAATCGCTGATTATTGCAATAACGTGGTACCAGAAAGGCGTATTAAATAGTTTAGTAAAACCGTGTACGTGTTCACTCGTCCATATTATCAGGAAGAAATGAAAGTAAAGTTGTTTAACCTTTAATTAATACCTTAATTCTCTAGTTGGCCACTACAAGGGAACGGCGTACGTAGATATTGTACACACAATTTAGAAATACCCTGCCCTCCTCTTGCGGATCATAGGACAAGTTGGACCTACCCATAGCCGACGTTGCAGGCTGTAATGCGACCATAAACGTCATTACCAGCAGGGGTCACGAGAAGGAGGAGCTACCAGCTTCCGCTCAATCCCAGCAGGGATTAGGACAGTGCTAACATTTATGCTCACTTTGAAACTTGTCATAAAACATATTTATATTATTCTTTCGTTATCGAATACATGGAAGTTTGTTGTCTCTTATTATACTTGTATATGAAATAATAAATACTACGATAAAAATCAAATGTTTGTAACGATTTTTTTCTCGTCTACAACTAGTTTTATTTCGAGAGTCGCTTCGTGCCAATACTTATGTTCCCCAACATAGATATTTTCCTTTCTAGCTGCATATTCAATTTCTGATACGCAGAAAAAGAAGACGTCAGCTAGTTACAGTGAACATTATTTTTTTTTTCCAATTCACGTCAGTCTGGTTTAATACAAACATAGTGGGCATGTAAAAATATATACAGGGTGTTCAGCCATCCTTGGGAAAAATTTTAATGGGAGATTCTAGAGACCTAAATCAGACGAAAACAAGAATACCAAATTGTTGATGGTGGCTTCGTTAAGAAGTTATTAACTTTTAAAGATACGCCCGTAATTTCGGGGGTATGTCTATTCACCAAAAATGATTATAATTGACCCCTGCAACCGAAAATAATTTTTCCAGCGCGATTTGAAATCCTTCAATTTTATCGAAAAATTTCAGCACCTATCTGAATTCTTTTCTCGAAAGTGGGTAGGAATTCGGGGGTCTGTCTATTCACCAAAAATGATTATAATTGACCCCTGCAACCGAAAATAATTTTTCCAGAACGATTTGAAATCTTTTAATTTTATCGAAAAATTTCAGCACCTATCTGAATTCTTTTCTTGAAAGTGGGTAAGATTTCGGGGGTCTGTCTATTCACCAAAAATGATTATAATTGACCCCTGCAACCGAAAATAATTTTTCCAGAACGATTTGAAATTTTTTTTTTTCGTCGAAATTTCAGCACCTATCCGAATTTTTTTCTCGAAAGTGGGTAGGATTTGGGGGGTATGTCTATTCGCCAAAAATGATTGTAATTGACCTCCGCGACCAAAAATAATTTTTTCAGAATGATTTGAAATTTTTTAATAACTTTGTAACGAAGCCTCAGTCAAGAAATTGATATTCTTGATTTTCGTCTTATTTTGGCCTCTAGAGTCTCCCATTAAACTTTTTCCCAGGGGTGGCTGAACACCCTGTATAAAGCAAATTACCAAAACATGAATATAAGTAGTACATCAACCTTAAAGTTGAATATTTTTTCGGATACTGTTGATTTTATAATAACAATATAAATTGAAATGTGCGTATTTCGAAAATGAGACGATGGAGCATGAAGGTGTTAATTCAATGTTGCTTATATTGCGAAGAAAACATGCGACTCGTCATATCCACGGAGGAGAAACCGAACAATGATCGTCGCTAATAAGATTCCATCCATTGTTGCACACAGAGGCATGAGTACCGGCTGGTTACACACCTATAGGTCAGCAATGTGTGTGCGGTCAGTCGGTCGGTCGGTCGGTTGGTCGGTTGGTCGGTTGATTGTCGGCTGATTCACCCATTTACCACATTCATACCTCTGAGCACGTGTATATGCGTGCATTGTCTACAGTAATTAGGATGAAAGTGCACTATACGACGAAGTTAGAGTGGTAAAGTTAACCATGTAACTCGATCTTCAACTTTAATAGCAATCCGAGTACGTCGTAATAAAGATTGAACAAACATAATAACTTTTAAAAATGAATTCGGAATAGCTGGTTAAAATCGTTTTAAACGAAAATCCATTGAGAGTTATGGCGAAAGCTAACCCAGAAACAACTCAAGATTCTGCAGCAGATTTAGGGGCTGCCGCCATGACAGTTTCTTGATATCTGGTTAGAATATAGAAAATGATGTTGTGACCAAAAACGATTTTGATCCATGAAACGTATAATTAATTACTTGTTTATAATCTGGGTCAAACAATAAGAACATTATCGTATTGTCAACGAATAGAAATTGATCCGAAACGAACTCGAATTGATTAACAGACACGGACCCGTCCTTTTTCACGACAACGTTCGGCCGAATATTCATTGAACCTTTCTCCAACGGACGATCACCTTTTTCGCCATTCGGAGCACTTTGTATGGGGCAAAACATTCTTGAATCGCGGAGCAGTAATTTAAGCGTACGAACGCTGTATAAAATTTAAAAATACCAATTTTTATAAACACGGAGTACAACGTTTAATATCCTGCTGGGAGAAAGCTATTGATGCTAATGCGCATCGCGTCTCTGCTTTGTATTATATACAGCTTTATCTCTGTTGCTTGAATGCATCAATCTTTGCCTAGTAAAAATAAAAATATGTTCTACAAGGATGCGATTAATCAAAAAGCGATTCGATTAGAATATTTTAAGGGGGGATTCCCATTAGGAAGATTAAAAAAAAATTCATATTTTTTTACTGGATTTCCGAATGCAACTTATGGGGTTTCTATTCGAAAGGCCACATCATAATAATAACAAAAGTCATGACTTCGTTAGATCTTTCTGAAACTTGGTAATTATAGATTTTCGAGATCGTTGATACCGAATCTAAAGTAAAAGATTTCAAATTCAAGATGGCGACTTCAATATGGGATACAAAGTGACCTGAAAAGGAATTTTAAGACAAAAAACGCAGAAATATACAACTAAAAATAATGAATCATTACTTATACATTCGTTCGGATGAAACTATCTTTAACATTTGTTAATAAATAAACTATGAAGATATTCTGTACTCATTGTTAAAACGAATATGAAACATCGGTGTATTCGATATTTTACGAAGTAACAGTATACAAGTAGTTTGTATTTGCGTAACCATCAAGTAGGTACTAAAACTAACTATACCTAGATCATTTATTTGAAGAATTTATTTTTCGAGGTCTCGAGGGGTTACTATTAAATAGTAAGCGGAATTTGTAAATACGAGAGTGTAAAAAATGATTTCCAGAGCATCGTGGATATCACGGATCATCGTTCACCTGCAGACTGGGTGGCAGGTACACAGACGCCGGGGACGCGTGTTAACGACGCGACGGCGTCGTATGTCTGACAAGTCGCGTGCAC